AAGATGTGGGCACCGGAAAGCTGATGAAAAAGTTTGTCGGGGCACGGTAGAGGGTGGGAATCCAAAACTATTGCAGTGTTCGGCTTGCATAGGCCTACACAGAGCCGGATCTGCCCATTCTTTTTGCGGGCCACTACGATGGGAGACACCCACTCCGAAGCATCGATGCGCTCGATAACCCCGGAGTGTTCCAGCTTCACCAGTTCCTCAGAAACTTTCTCCCGCACTGCGAAAGGTAGTCTTGGTAGCTTTTGTTGGAAAGGAGCGACGGAATCTTTTGTCTTTACCTTATGTACAAATCCTTTCGCATGACCTAATCCCTCGGAGAACAGATGGGGGAAGTCTTGTGTGATCTCTGGAAGGTTTCTCGCGGAGACCGTTGCCACCTGTCCTCCGGTGGGAGGAGCAAAGTTTAGTTGGATGTCCAATGCACAAAAGTCGTTTAGGCCCATGACAGCCACGCCTGTTCGTACGACGTGAAATGTGCAGGTGCTGCGTCTTTGAGCAAACTGTACCGGTGCGTCGAATTTCCCCAGAACAGGAATGTCTTTTCCGGAGTAGTCCAGAAGTGTTGTACTCAAACATTCCAACTTGTAAGAGTGGAAGTGTCTTCGGTAGACGTCTTTTGGCAGGATTGAAACGGATGAACTTGTGTCGACTAAACGTTTGGTGGGAACATGTGCCAGATGTATCTCGCACGTAACCGATTGTTTGGTAAAGCTGGTAGTTAGCACCTGGACTTGGTCGTGCGCTTGTTCCACTCTTCGTACATGGGATTTTGCTTGTGAAACTCCCTGCTTGCAAACGGAGGCGAAGTGTCCCTTCTTGTTGCATTTTCTGCAAGCTTCATTCTTTGCCAGCACTTAGGATGGTCCGCCATGTGGTGCGGTGATCCACATCTGTAACAAGTGCCGGACGACTTGCTGGGACTTGCACTCGAATTTTTGGCTTTTATTTTTGCCACTCGTGAACTGGATCCCTCTTCCGTCAAGAGCTTGGCCTCCTTCATCGCTTGCTCAACTGGAGAGGCGATGGCAAGAGCAGATTTTAGGGAAAGTTCAGACTCATGTAAGAGTCCTAGAGTCCTGTCGACTGCACCAATTGTGTTTTTAATACGAACGCCTATGTCAGACAGTACAGAAAAACCAGCTGCTCCATCTCGTGCTCCGTTCGTATCCCCCTTCCTCTTCGTCCTCGTCTACCAGCAGCCAGGATCAGCTTGTAGACACAACAGAGAGTATACGCTGCTATTTAATAGAGTTGCAGGACGGTGAGGGCGACGCGCTCACTGAATGACTCGAGTATCACATTCATACATTCGTCCCCTTCTGTGTTCCTGGGTCTCGGGTTTTATTACCATGTATCACATTCTACTCTGATAACACTCTACGCATTCTACTGCAGTGACAGGGCCAGGCAACATATGTGACCGAGTGGTCCGGTCAGCTTTAACCGTGAGTGTGTCATATGGTGGGCACACCTTTTCAGTACTGCTCGGTTTGATCGAAGGCGCAAGTGTCAACACCTACACAAAAATCAGCCTCAGAAGAAAAAACTAAATCTGGTTCTATATAAAAACAAACAAAAAGAACAAATGCATAATATGTAAAATTAATATGCATGATTACAAATCGAGTTAAATCTGCAGTTACAATTCTTTGCTTCAAGTTGATTCCCAGTTAGGTCCCCATTGGTTCCCAACTGGAACCGGCATATCTCAGTAGTAGTGAATCCAAGTGGACCCAGTTTTAAATCTAACTGGCGTACCCGCAACGACCCCCCTCCCCCCTCCCACCCCCGTTCCCTCCCGGGGTTCCGCGGGAGGTCCCGGGGGTCGCTCCTATCCGTTCAACCTTTTTGCAGCTGGGTTACGCACACTTACCACCTGTAACTGAGAACCTTAACGTAACTCAGCTGTCGGCTCGTTGAAAACTACTCATTAGGTGCGATAATCAATGATAAGGTCTTTGCAACAGCGAACACCCATCTAAGCGCGCGGGCGCACTCGGCCGGCCGTCACTACCGCCGGTCACGCTGGTGCAAGAAAGCATTGAGCGTCGTGCTATGTTCCGCTCGCTGGCAGTGTAACGAAGGCTACGGGCACGAGATCAGCTGCGAGACGTTTTTTTCACAGGACGAGCGCCCGGGCTAAAGGAGCGTGCAATGTACAATGCAAGGGACAGCCGATTCGGAGCACACTACCGCACGCGACGCACGCGCTAGGGCCACGGCAGCCACGCCCACGATAATAACGTCACGTGACACAAAGACAATAAAAATGTATTTATATGCATTAATACTATTTTTATAACTCACAACTTTTGTCAGGCTGCGTTTAAGAAGTTGTCAATAAACAAATGTTGTGACAAAAATGTTTAGTCACGTGACCTTTTACTGTAAAGCTACATTAAAATCGAACGGGTTTATTTTTATTTGTACTTATTTTCAAAGGCACATTATATTCTGTATGTAGTAATGATTTATATTAGTTATTAATAATTAACAAGGTGACGTCACTTCCGTTACGTCACTTCCGGCGTCGGAGGAGTGATTTGCACACAGATGTCACTCCTTCGACGGGCGTCGGAGGAACTGCGGCCAAATAAAATACTGGCTACGCCACTGGTACATTGCGATTGTCGCATAATAAAAATCCCGCCATTGTTTTTTGTTTCTTTTTATGTGGTGGAATTATGTTTATGAATTCATATTTCGTGATATTTCTTGGTTTGTTTTTCGCGCATGTGCTGAATATCCCTTCAGAAAATCTATCAAGCATAATCAAGCCCATTCCAGATAATGCGATTCTGCTTTGCGATTTTAGATCTCATGCGGCAAAAAGTCGGCGGACACAGCATGTGCACTTCAGCTGCCGTCAGCGGCTTATATATATTTTTTACACTATTGTCGCTGCAATTGAAAATGAAGAAATTCGCAAGGATAATCTCACCATGTGAAACGACCTTCGCGCGAGAAACCGCGTACATCCATAACCGAAACCGAAACTTGTAAAACAAGCGAATATTGGAAGATCTGCTTTGTCCTTGGTAGCTTCCCTACGAAACATCAGGTTGCACCTATGCCGTGATGTTTTATTTGTACTGTAATATTATCTATTAATGTTTTAAGTTTATTCTGTTTGTTGTGGCCGAAACCAAAAGAAAGCCCTCATACGAATACGTAGACAAACACGCTGGAAAGATGGCGCTATTCTCCGCCTTATTTGGGCAAGTGTCTTGTGTTTTCAACTGTATGTCTATTAGCTTTTGCAAAGCTTTTGTTGCGAGCGTTGCGAGCCAAGTCGGCCAAGTTGGCCAAGTCCTTGTTGCGAGCGGTCTTGGTGCCATTTCTCGCGTTTCTCGTATCATTTCTTACTGTAGTTACGTCCGTCAGCTTTTCTTATTTTCGCAGCTCCTTTTACGAAAGTAAGTAGACTCGGCTCTCCTACCCATAGACTAGGGTTCTGCTTTTTTCTCCCTTACTAGAGGTCGGCAGAATCTACTCCCGTCGCCCCGACGCCACTCCACGATCTTTTCAGTTGCTGCCCCTGCTGACATGACCGCCTGAAACGAACTGCAGCCATGGCTAAGCATCGACAGCCAGAACCAAGTAAGATATAAAAACTGGCGCGCTACTCCTCACACTTCGCGACGCATCACAAACTTACGGGTTTATGCTTGCGGCCTTATGTGGTGACCTGACTCTCCAGAGTTATATAAAAAATACCAATACTTCTTGTTTTGGTTTTGTAATGTGTACTGCCTACAAAAGCTTCCGATCACACGGCTCAACAGCAGACAGACAGACTGCATTTATCGTGGTTCATGTCGCAACCACGGGATTGTTTTCCATACTGAACAGTCATGGGAGACTCACATTAATAGTAATGCAGTACTTTGATTGTATGAATTTCTATTGTCGAATGCTATCAGATGTCTGCCTATCCCTAAAACAATGTAAAAGCTAGCTGCCTGCGTGATCCGTTTGCTTAATGGACGAGTATAGCCGAAACCTGAGTAAAGTGGTGTTACAAAGCCTGGCCTCGTGTAGTCGTCATTTCACGGCAGTTGCGAGTCTGGCAGAATACGTCATTAGTCGTGGGTTCCTCCTGACGAAATTTGAGATACACGAAAACTTTGCAACAGCTGTGTTTTAAACGCCTTACTGAAGTACTTCTCGCCACTCACATGTCGACCCCTATTGGGTTCGAACCCGACGTGAAAGTTCCACGAAGCATGTATGCACGCATCCCTAACCTGTCCAAAGCTGGAGTCGGCGAATAAGCTACGTTTCAGAGTAATGACACTGCAGCCATTGGATGGACAGATGAATGATGACGGCTGTACCCTTTTTAACGGGTAGTAACTTGTGCCACTTACTCTGTGCTCGAAATTATTGTTGCCAGTCATCCGAAGCTTCATCTATAAATGCAGGAAACACATTTTTTCGTCCTCCGAAATTATTAAACCAGTCTGCAACGTAGGAAAACGACACCGCCCGAAATTTCCGACGCCGTGTCCGAAGCTGGGCAAATAGCAGTTTCGAATAATAACTATCGCCAGTTGCACACCGCTCTGCACTGACACCAAAATGGCGGCACCCACGAAGTAATCGGAGAAAGGAGCCCTGATACTACGATGCCCGAAACTCATCTCCGACCGGTCTGTTTAGTGTCCTGTCCCTCCCATACGTCAAGAGTGGTCCAGAAGCAGTAACAAATGTGGTCACGTAAGCCGGCGTGTCACACTGTTGGATGTCGCTATCTCGGTGGTCAGTGCTGGAACTTCCTGCAAAAGGTATCAGTGAACGTGGCCGCCGCCGTCTTTACAGAGTCCCAATGCCTGGCGGCCAAAGTTTGCATGAACTGTCACACTGGAGAGTGGCCCACAGCAGAAAGGGCATCTACGATCACAGCCTGCAACGACATGAGACTTCTACGACGTCATCAGGCGGGAATCGAGGGGCCGCTTTTTAGGACGCAGTAATCACACCAGTTGGAGATGCGTTACAATCACCATACCGGTACTCTAAGTAGTGGTTCTCAGCCACTGATGTTTCGGGGTCTCCTACCGGATCAACTGAAGCGATCCACGAGAAGGGAGAAGAGGGTATTTGATGATTACGAAAACAAAAGAGTAAATGAGGGAAACTGGATACATGCAAACCAACCATGAGGGGCTTTAAAACAAAGAATGATCAACCCTAGTCACTCGGTGCACACGGTTTGGTCTATTTAGCTTTCTGGGACAGCCAGCATTAACGAAAAAAACGTTTTCCAGTCGGCTCGATTGACGGTCAAGGGCTTTGGGGACCTTTAAAGGGTCCACGGAAGCCCCATTCGAGAACCGCTGCTGCAAGCGTTGCTTAGTTAGTGGCTGTACTCGAATCTTGTCGGTTTCAGCGGCTCCGCCATCTCCGGCGACGCTCGACAAGGAGGCGCAGCGCAAGCGAGCCCGTCCACTCCCCGTTTTCTTCTGGGAGACGGTGCATGTGATGAAGTGGATGAAGCGGCGCTGCGCCGACTACTACATCATGTATGCCCACCTGTTTCTCGAACATGAGATCACCGGTGAGTACCGCTTTGACAGCCACAGAAGGGAAACAGGTTGCACGTCAGGCCCCATGTTTGGCAACAGACAAGGAGATGAAAGAATGATGACTACCCTTGCCGTTGCCCAAGCCAGTTCTAAGTGTGCGCTCCTCTCACGCTTTCCCTGCGTATGTTTTTCGGGCCATCTTTATTCTCCGCTTTCTTCAAAAATCCCACAGTATTGGTACTCTTTACTTTCAGTGTTAAAGGTTTCTGGAGGGGACTTCATTCAGGATTCCCTGAGAAGCGCTTCTAAGCGTACAGTTCTGTTAGGTCACATAAATCTGGATCGAACGAGCAAACTATCCTTTGTTTTGCTTCAAATCGGAGTGTAGTCAAGGACTATACACGTTTCCAAAACAAGCTTCTAGGCCGCCGCCATGTTGCTTATGCTGATCCGGCTGGTGCGACTCTCGCGCCCCGTATCAGCTAGAAATTTTCTGCCACTCTCTTGGACTGTGGAAACCCGCTCAGCGTGGTTCTCCTATGTTTTGCGGTTTCGCATTCAAGGTTTTCCGACCCCTCTGGGAAAGTTTCCACTTAATTTTTCTGATGCATGCTGCATACCCTTTCTTTGTTATCTTCCACTGTGGGAAATAGGGCTAGTAAGTGCCTGCCATTCAAGCGTTTCTGCTCAACATTCACAGGAAACGAAGGAGGGGAGGTATGTCGAATGACCCTCGACGCGATTTTGCGAACAATGACAACTGTTCTCCCCCCTCCCAGAGATAACTCGCATAGAGTCCTTCTTAGTCATAGTCAAGAATAGTTGTTCGGGTCGGAGTCGGAGCACACATTCCTTTGCATTGGTGCTGGTGTGAAAAAAGAGAGCTCTCCCCAATACGTGTCCCAGAACGAAGTCATTTTGGATTCCATCCAATCGTCAAGATGTGTCTGTCGTCGACTGTATTATTTGAAATATTTCTGAAATAAATTATTTTCAGATAATCCTGCATCGTGTGGTACATACAATATATTGTTTGAATGTTAACATGTCGGTGTCCTGTCCATCAGTAATATTGTAATTTGTGAATGTGAAAAATGCATGTCTTTCGGCTATCTTCTGTTGTAAATTTTTTTAGAAAGCTAAGCGCTTTGTCGCTTGACACGCGGCTAATTGGGCAACGCCGTCAAAGCTTGTCGTGAAAAAAAAAACAAAAAAAAACTAACATTCCAGTTGCATTCGTTCTTTCACGCACGTACCCAACAAAACAAATTTACAGTTTTTATTTTTTTTATTTTTTACAAATGTGGTACAATGCTTTCTCAATGTCCTCACGAAAATACATACACCATGAATCGCAAAATGCAGCGAGAAACGACGAGAATCTAGCCGGCAACACTGTTTGAAACTGCGCCTACGCAGGCTGCGCCTGTTGAAATCACAGTCCACTCGGTTAGGGTTAGCAGGGTCGTCGGTGAAGGTCTAGCCTGAAACCCAGAGATTGGGCTCGAAAACGGTTTGTTGCCCCTGGGGTCAAGTGTTTCTTGGAAAGGTGTATAGGACACAAAGGCTGGGAGACCAACAGCACAAGGTCACGATGCACTGTCTGTGCTTGGGTGGATTAGCTGTTGATAACACGTGCAAGCAAAGGGGATGAATGCCACAACATTGCAATTCAAGTGCCACCTTTCAATGGACTGCCGAGGACGCTACGAGCCAATTGTCGCGTGGCAGTCGTGCGAGCGTCATGTGGCAATCGGAAGGGGTTCAGACACAGGCGGGGCGTGGAGTCATGTGTTACATTCACAGCATTGGATTGGCTGGTGTAACTCGTAGCATCTGCTGCGGTTCATTGTGTGGTGAAACAGGGCATAATGTTAAAAATTATAGAAACGAAAGGTGTCTTGAGGTCTCCCAGATATTATGAATAAAAAGCGATTTCCAGTGCTTTTAAGCATTTTTGAAAAAGGTTTGAGGTCCTTTTTTAACGGGCATTGTTCCACATTGTTTCTGTCTGCTCCAGGGAGATCCTTGGTTCGACTCAACGACATCAGCCTGGAAAAAATGGGCATCAAGGACATCAATCATCGGTACGAAGGTGTAGGTTTTGGTTATTAAGTAACACGCAGTGTCGTGGCGACAAGGTGGCTAAAGCGATGTGCCCAGCGAGGAGGGATGAGTCGCACCCTCCATGGCGTCACATGGTTTTTTAAGACTAACCGTCGAACTGAGAGAAGACACAAACAACAAAAAAGAACACACAAGAGCTCTCGTGCATTCCATCTGGTGGTAGGTTAACACCCACCCCCTTCATGTGCCACTACGCCCATTACATATGTGAAGACCCCAATGTTCGCAAGGTTCACGAGTTCTTCTACCATTGAGTGGCTTAGTCAGGGCATCGGCGTAGTTGTCTGATGACTTCACAAACTGTATTATTATCCTTCCTTCTTCATTCTTCCCGCTTAAGAAGAAATGATGCCAGTCAGAATGTTTGCTGCACTTTGATGTCACTTGCTTGTTTGCAACTTGCAAACCTTGTGGCTCAACGACAAACTCCTGGCTCCCTATTTCGTTTAGAAAATTTTGGAGCCACATTAGTATCTGCTTTGCCGCTTGGCACATTGAAAGGCTTCCATCCTGGATAATCCAGTGGACTTCTGTTTCTTGCTGCTCCACAAAATGGTAGCTCCTACCAGCATAAAAATGTACCCTCTAAATGACCACCTGTCATTTCTATCATTTGCCTAATCTGTGTCACAATAGCCTTTCACACAGCCTCCTGTCTTCATGAATGCGAGGGTATAGTTTTTTGTTTGTTGCACATACCTCCAAATGTGCTTTATGCTGTTATGCATCTCGAAGGTGCGATGCTCACTAAATTGACTCATACAAGCGGTTGTGAATGTCAAGTCTGGCCTTGTGCCTCCTGCTAAGTAAAGAAGCGCTCCAACCACTTGTCAGTACTTGGGCTTCAACTCCCTGTCTTCGTTGGTAGTAGCTGATCTCTGAAACTTCATTCCAAGATCAAGCGGTGATGCTGCCCCTTTAGCACTTGTCATCCCAATTGACTCCAAGATTTCTTCAGCGTAAGATGTTTGGTCAAACGTGAGTCCTCCACCTTCATGTCACACAATTCTAATTGACAAACTATGGCTAACCTCTCCGAGTTCCTTACTGTTGAATGTGCATCCAGTGCTTCTCTTGAAGGTCTTGATCTCCTTCGTCCTTTGCTAGAATCGGGAGGTCATCCATGTAGACCCCTGCAGTGATGTTCCCCCCCCCTGCTTAAAGTACACGCATGGATCTGCCATGAACTAAAAAAATTCTCCCGCCTTCAGAAACTTGTCCAGTTCTAGGTTCCGTTCCCGTCCAGGTCGATCCTTACAGGCTCTTCAAGAGATGGACGTTGCTCTTGCAGTCCTCATCCTTTGCAGGTTGTCCCATGTGTGCGGTCTCCTTGAAGGTATGCAGCAGTGATGTCAACCTGATGGATTTTCCAGTCTCTTTCAGCTGCTACTGCTAACAGCATTTGGATAGACTTGAGCTTCATCACCAGCAAGAAGGTCTCCTTCAAGTCAACTCCTGCCTGAGAATAACTGCAGGCAACAAGTTGAGCCCTGTAACGCTTCAGGTCACCATCTTTGTCGAACTTCTTCTTGAATACCCACTTTCATTTGATGACTTGTTGGTTCTTTGGTCCGGGAACTATTTCCCATGTGTCATTCTTCAGACTGTCCAGCTCCTCTTTTATGGCTTATCTCCATTCCTGCACATTAGGCATTGAGAGTGCTTCTTCCAATGCTTAAAGATCTTCCAAGCTGCTTTGTCATGTCAGGTAACAGGCACGAGGGGGTTTCATTGTACCATCATCACCCTTCTCTTCCTCAGGTTAGATCTATTCATCAACAGTGGCTGTTGTCACGTCCACAGCACCATCTCTGCCTTCGTCAGTGATTCGACCTCCAGCCTCTGTCTTGCATGGAAAGCTGTTTTTGTCGAAGGTTACGTCACGACTGACAAAGAACATACGGTTGCACCAGTCCCCGAGTTAATACCCTTTCACTCCCTTAGGGTAACCCACCAGCACACATTTCACTGCCCTTGGGTCGAGCCTTGTCTTCCTGCGCTTGCTGTTGTCAACCATCCATACCTTAACCCCAAATACTCTTAGTGACTCAATGTGACGTCTCTACCTAGTCATACGACTTCGGGAACTACTCCACACTTGTTGTGAATGTGGAATGCAGTGACCGCGAAATCAGCCCACAGTTTTTCTGCGATGCCAGATTCAGTCAGTAGGCACCTCGTTGTGTCCAGCAACGTTCGGTTCATCCTCTTGGCCACCCCATTTTGCTGAGGCGTCCTGGGTACCATCAACTGTCATGAGATACCGTGCTTACCAAGGCATTGGGTGAATTCCCGGCTCACGTATTCACTTCCTATGTCACTGCGTAACACCTTCACTTTCGTATTGTGAAGGTTCTCGGACATTTGTCTGTACTGGTCGAACCTGTCCAGCACTTTATTTTTCGTCTTCATCAGGTACACCACAGTGAATCTGGAGTAGTCATCAATGAACTTAACAAAGTGGTTTGACCCCCCTTCGAGACAGGTGTGACCTTTCCAACTACATCCGAGTGAACCCGCTCCAGTAAAGGCCTCGGCCCTCATTCCACTCGTCTTCGGAAAGCTGCTTTTCTTCAATTTGCCGAGTGCACATGTCGAGCACTTTACGTCTTGACTGCTTTTCCCACTTTGGCAGAGTTTTTCGATAAATTCATGGTGGAGATAACCCAGTCGTCGATGCTGCAAGGCAACGTCTGTCACCCTTGCTAGCTTAACGTTGCAAGCGACTCACTCACAGTATACAATTTACCATCACTCTTTGCTGTGAGAATTAGGTCACCATTTGCTTCACCCGTTTCAACCATTCTGTTGCTGAAAGCTGCATTCAGTCCACATTCCTCAATCTTCCCAACTGACAATAGGTTACCGTCTAAGCTTGGTGCACAGAGGACATCACTAAGCTTGATGACAGTGCCATTACAGTTTTCCGAGAGTTTGATCTCTACTTGTCCTCGCCCAACAACCGTCATGATTTCCTTATTTGCTGCTTCAACAGACAAGTAGCAGGGCTTAAAATTGGTGAATTTGACTCTGTTTGATGTCATGTGGTCAGTTGCTCCACTGTCAAGGTACCAAATGTGTGACCTTGAGGAACTCCCAGCTCTGGCACAGAGCACCTTCTTCGGATTGCTGGAATTGCTTCTTCTCCATGAGCCGCATCCTTCGTCATCAGGGCCCTCCTTGCATTCTTTCGCAATATGCCCACATTTTCTGCACGCAAAACACCAAACCTGTCGTTTCGGTTCGGAGGACCCTGTACCAGTGCCAGTTGCTTCTTTCCTCGAAAAATGTTCTTGCCCATCATATCTGTGGAGCTGACTGCCCTGCATAGTGGGCTTGTTCTTTGTCATGAGGGCCTTGTTTTCTTAACTCTCATTTAGTTTGTCTTCTTCACCTTTGACCTGGCACTTTTCTTCTACCAGCAGCCTTGCTTTCACTTTCTTTGTCATGAGCATTCCTTCATCTTGCTCAAGACTTAGGATAAGTGGTTTGTACACTTCTGGCAAGCCCATCAGCATCACCAGTGCTGCTTCCCTGTCGGTGAAGGTGTATCCTGCCGTTTAAAGCTTCCTTTGTAGGTTCATTATTCTATCAGGTAGTTCTTTTTAGCATCTTGGGTTGTTCCAGGCTCGAAATTAGACTGGTCTAGAACGGTTCGTAAGAACACTAACTTTTTGTTTAGTTAAGATTGGGCCGAAGGCAAAGAGCAGTCTTCGTAGTCTGGTGCCGTTCTGTTGTGAAGTATCTCTGTGCAATCTCTCTGGTGAGGTAACCCTCGTGCGTAGGGTTACCTCGCAGTGGCAATAACTGGAGAAATCGCGAGGAAATACGGCAACCAGATGACCGAGCAGTACCCACGATTTAATGGTGAGCCATGAGGTTATTGCTTCATTTTGGTGATGAAAAAGTCGCTCATCAATAGCATGCGGTAGGCCACACTTTAAATGTATCTCTTCCAGTGTGTTCCAGGCCTCATGAGCTGTCGAGCATTCCCCAGTGTCGTCTAGGTAGGTGTCTTCCTATACTGGGAACTTGAATGTCAAAGCCCTGTTGTTGACCTTCCTCTTGTTGTTCGTCATTTCTCTCCCACCATAGCCAGGCTCGATTCCTTCCCAACAGCATTTCTGGACAAGTGCTGCTCTGTCTCGAATTGCCCACACATGGTAATTTTCGCTTGAGAGTTTTGGTATCTTGAATTCGTCCAACGCCGCCATCGTATCGCTTTGCTTCGTCGAGAGCGATTCGAAGTAGGTGTACCGTGATGGACTTGCATTGGGTTCCCGTCGCACGTCTTGCAACACCCAGCGAAGCAGGAACACACATACTGGTTTGCGACGTCTTCCACAAACCGTCGACGCTGTTCTGCTTAGTTCACTTGTTCTGCAGCACAGCCAAGCTTGTTATCCGCGTTTCCAGTCCCACACCAGTGGCCTAGTTTCTTCTCGTCATCTTCGTCCTAGTTGAGTTGCTCCTCAGGGGACATTAATGCCCCTCACCTCACTGCACCGGCATAGCGTCGTCCTGGGGCCATGACCTGTTAATTATTGAGTAATGCGCAGTGTCGTGGCGTCAAGTGTGGCTAAAGTGACGTGCTGTTGCGACTAGGAGGGGACGATCTCGGGTGCGAAACCAGGAGTCGGGGCTGTGGCTCGCTGATCGCATAGCCCCGAGAAAACAGACCTGGATCGGGATTACTGAAGTAGAACTTTTATGTACAGTGAATGTGCAGGTAGCTGGTCGACAGTTCAGTCGGCATCTTCAGGCTCTCTGAGCCCATGTTATATAGCCCTCTGAGGGCAGAAAAGACCTTTAAGAGAGAGGAGCCTTTGCCGGAGACTCAACCTTCACGTGACGTTCGAGGTGCGGAGACGGCTGATGCAATTGTCCTATGTTCTTTCAGCGAGGTGCAGATGACACAACCCTTAGCCGCTCTTGCCATACTCCAGTGTCTGGTGCAAGGTGTCGACACTCTTGCCGCTCAGACTGAAACACAACATTGACTGACACACACATGTGCATGCAGGTGTTTCTCCTTCCTTGCGAAGACTGGCGGTCCCGATCGTCTTGTGGCTTCCGGAAGTCTTTCTTTTTGTGTTTAGAGCCCTCAGCAAAGGCAACCCACCCGCCTGATGTCTCAGGGTTTTTTCACCCTGGGTAGAGTAGGGTGTTTTCAAGCGGTCTCCCCTTCAGCACTGCCAGAAACACAACAGTGCCCAGCGAGGAAGGATGAGTCGTGCCCTACATGGCATCATATGGTTTTATGAGGACTAACCATCGAACTGAGAGAAGAAACAAACAACGAAAAAAATTAACGGGAGCTCTCGTGTGCTCCATATGATAGTAGGTTAACACACTGTCCAACACACACAAGCCATCTGGTGGTGGCACTTGACACTGGCTAACAGTAGAGAGAGAATGTTTTTAAAGTCGTAGATTGATGCAGCCACTACTAAAACTAAAGGCCGTTGGCTGACTGGCACGATAGGGCTACCACCGTGTTGCCTTTGGTGTTGGGTGTTGTGACAGTGAATAGCTACTTTTGGCAGGCTTTAGATGACGCATGTTCTTTTTTCGAGTTCCAGACTTTGAGTTCCTTCTGTCCAAGAAGGGTGTCTCTTGAAACCACAGTAACTGCTGTCGGATACCTGAGTTAGCCAACACCCGAGTCACGTGGGAAGGGCTTGTGATAACACAGCATGGTCTGATGACCAATCTGCTTGTTATAAGTGTGGTTCCATTACCTCTTGGTTCCTTTTTCTTTTCATTCTGAAGTCTCGCGAGCATGCAGAATGAGAAAGCACATTGAAGATCAGGGATCTAATCTGCAAAGCTACAATACCGATAGAAAAAAAAGTCAGAATTTCGAGTCTGGGCACTGGGAGACACAGAAGCTCCTCAAGATTATAAAAAATGGAGGAAAGTGACCTGGGGAAAATGGGTTTTCTACCCCAAATACTTTTTTTTGCAGAAGCAGAACCATATCTTTCTTTAGTGCCAATTTTGCACCCGTCTTCCTCGCAGCGACGAACTCTGCCGCGAGATCCTCAAGCTCAAGTTGAAGAGCGACATCCTGGAGATGAGGGATCTCGAGAGCAAAGGTGAGGCCCCACCACAGACTGTCACGCTGTCGGACGTCGCGGCGGTCGGTCGTAGAAGTTCCGGCCAATTGTATGAGTGAACGCGAGTGTTGCCGTTGTCGCGGCATCCCAATTTCTGGCTGGAGAGCAACCTGCAGCAGTACGGGTGTCTGCTGCTGCCACACTACCGCACGGATTGCAGCAGACAACGGCGAGACACGTGTACGACTTTATCGGGCGGAAGTCGAAAAACCGCAAAGGAGGGTGCGGTAAACGAGCCAATCTGAGACGCGTTACGGGGCACCATAGGCTTACCTACTTCTGTGCTAGACAGAAACTGCAACCTTATGGTTTCCGTACATGAGTTGGTAGCAGAGGTGGTGGTACCATAAAATCCCAGAGTGTTTAAGAAGCACCAATGTGTAAGCAGCTTCCAAAGGTTGGAACGCTTTATATACTCCCAGAATTTTGTGTGTTAGTGCGCACCCCATGGGACACGACGTGACAACAAATCGTCACTTCATGTAACGTTGGGCTATGGGAAACCATAATGTTACATGGCGTTTACTGTGAGAAGGAGTAGAGGGGGAGATTTGGGCTCAAACCCCTGCCCCCCCCCCCCGGAAAGAAGGAAGGAATGCCTGGCTATGTCTTCTAGACAAACTCCAATGACCCTCCTTAACCCCTTGCCTACTAAGGAATCTAAGGAAGAGCGTTACTCGCACCACCCCTTACAGACTATAAAGCTTGATCATGAGTGTGGCTTGCATTTCTGTTTTGACGCTTATTTAGCACGTTCTCTGGCAGATGGCAAAACCACCCCTGTTGCTCCATTTACCTTGGGTAGTTTGCTTGTTTGTTTTGCTGTTTGACAGAAAGAAAGCGCTTATGCTCGGGCATAGGTGACGACAAGTCCTTTGGCCTTGCCGATTCTTAGGAATCGGACGATAGTTTGATGGGCAGTGACAGGAGTGATGAAAACGATCTGATGATTCCTGCAAGCATTCCGTCAACTTCGGCGTCTGCACGTCATCGGGAATCGGACCAGAAGTCCTCATTTAGAGCAAGGTATGACACCTGGAAGTCGAGGAAACGTTTGTCTTACTTTGATGCAAATTGTCATTCTGAAATAAAATTTTGCTGTATGTTCCTCGAAGAAAAAAAATGAGTAGGCAAGGGGTTAAATATTCCATTTCATGCATTATCCGTCTTTGGAGATAAAGGTTGCTTCCAAGTTTTCTTTTCTTTTTCTGAAACATTGTCTTCTCCTTGCAGGCACTGAATTCTCTACGGTCGGGATGAGTTGAGCTTACGATACTCACGGCCTCCTCAGGAAGGTAATGCTTCTGTGTTTGAAAGACAGACATTTCTGTGTTCCACCGCACCTAATCACATCGAGCATATCTTTTACAATGCGCTTTATCATTATTCCACCAACTCATTTAGGTCAATAAAAAGAAATCCCATCTTGCGAAACTCTTTTTTATTTGTGCTCACAAATGCCACAGATAAAAACAACGTAACTTGTTGTCACAGTAGTCTAGTAGTTAAGATGTATGCCACGACCAATGATTGAAACACAAATCTTTTGTAAAAACTTGCCTCCGTCTTACAATGGCAGTGTTGGAGCACCTCGCACATTGGATGGGGCGGTGAGAAACAAACATGTAAGTGAACAAGCCGAGTGATAGAAATGCTAAATGACAGGACAAGCTACCAACATTAAGCCGATGCACACTCCCGAACAATACCAGTGAAGAGCAGTCTATAAAATATAAAAGGCAAGAACAGCTATAATAATGCAGAATGCTTTTTATGAGAGCCTTATGGGTAATAATCAATATTTTCAGATTACTGTGTGTAAAGGTTGCATAGCATTGATAATGCACGCCCAAGCAAAAAAACTTGCATGTGGATGCATGCGTCTACATACCTGTAAAAAGGTGTAAATGGGGGTATGTCAACACTTACACCGCCTCAATTGATTTGAACTCTGAGCTCTGCTAGATGACACTTAAAAACATCTTGAAGTTGTCGTTTCTAAAAGAAAGCATGCTTCGGCAGTGACCGTGCTCACACGACCAGTGTCTGTATTCGCGGAAGTAGCTTTGCTCATTGAAAGTGGCAGTTTTATTAAGATGGCTGGTGATCTTATGTCGACGTCAGCATATTGCTTATGAATGCAAGGCGTAGCAAAGCCAGTTCCTCTTCCTTTACCTAAGCTTCTCATAACATGAAACTCTTCTAATAACATTGTTCAAAAAGCTGTGAGGGAAGGGGAGCTAAGGAGATTTACGAACAAATGCGGTCCTGGTAAAAGTACGGCAAGGTTCATTTCATTGCACCATAGATATTCAGAATTTCATAAATCGGCATCTTGGCATTAGACCGGTGTGTAGTCCTGTAGATGGACACTGCATAACGCACCTTAAGGACCGTGTGTTTCTGTGACCGAATTTCGTCTTGCAGCAGAGGCACTAGCTCGTCACTCTCTGGGCATCTATACAGCCAGTATGACTGGAACACTGTGAGGCGTAACTGCCTGCAAGGCTCGATTAGATGGGGGACATAATGTCTCCAAAAACGCACGGTCTACTGGCTGCACATTTACGGGAATTTCGGACCGAGCTCGACGAATTCGCCGATTTACTTGGTTCAAGAAATTAATGGCGCAGCGAGATGAATCCTGCCGTCGGTCAAGGGTGAAGCTTCTGCACGAGTTTCTGCACCGCCAAGAAAGCGAGGATGTCGTGCATGTGTCTCCAAGTTTCCGGGAGGTTAGCTGAGTAGCTCGTTGGAGTAGCCCTCTTGCTCACGGTAGCCACCGTAGTTCTGGCGATAGTAGGAGGCGTAGCTGCGTCCCCAGACAGCCAAGACAAAGGACTCAATTTGGCTTTCGTCTTCGCCGCGGACGATGCGGAAGTAGCCATTTTCGCCCCAGCCGCTGCCCCAGGAGTTGGCGCAGAGCTGGGGAGGAGAAATCGGTCATTTACTTCAGAGTGAAGCAGCATTGAGGATCATGGCTAAGTTACTATGGAGTGAAAGTAGTAGCCAGAATGGCAGACGATACTGGAGCGGATCAGTATAAGAAGGTAGGTGAAGAGGAGCCCTTTAGTGGTTCTCCTCTCCTGCGTTCCCTTTGCAAAAGTGGAAAAGATGGGAGCTTAGTGCTAGGAGCTTGCCCTCTCATTCTTATCCTGCAACAGACTACAATAACAATATCTGTCAAGCTTAAAAGTTCATTGGGCCACTAGAGATCAGTGATTATCTTCCTTTATGTTTTTTTTCTAGAGCAGTGTTGTGGTGTCATTTGTGAACAGATAAAGGGTCACATATATTAAGTTTGTTCCTTGTTTGGTGCCATTAAAACAGCCCAGAGCAATCGTAACTGTTCACTTAGCAGCTCATTAATTTCATACATAACTTGCTGTTGACATTAGTGTCGACAATGCAATCAAGACGCCATCCTTCTAGCTTTTCCACAAAATCGTCTCCTTGGGCCCTCGATACGGTGGCATGGATGCAGGTCGGGTCTGTACATTCGCAGAAACATTCTTTAAAGCCATTTGTATCAGACTTGCATATTCGTGACTGCACACTGTGGGACCTGTGCTGCTGAAGTAGTGTTTGTGAAGACGTTCTGACAGATACATACCCAGTACTTCTGAGGCCGGTACTGTGTTCGGTCAACACCCCACCTGCAAGAGAGAAGATGGATTTCACGTCACCCACGGATCATTGGAAGGGTGCATCATACATTGGTCCACCCTTGTGCCCTTAATGTTGCATGTTGCAACCTTAAACCACAGTGCCCGAGCAGTCTGCTTGACAATACAAGGTGCGATTGAAAATTTCGAGACTGATTTTGCGGCATAAAAAGAGAGGGCTGCACGGTGATGCGCACGCAGCAGTCAAAGGCAGGGACCTTCGTGCCTCCCGATTCCAAAGGGTGTCGTTTTGTGAACCTTTGGAGCTGCACTACACAAGTTTTTGTGACCGCATGCAAGAGCACGATGCCGATTTTACCATATGCTGCAAGCCAGAGAGAAAGCGAATGTTTATTCCGCATCAAACACAACAAGTATAAAACGGAGCCCTTTGAAAGGACTCGGCAGGCTTGTGTCAAAAAGCAGTGAATTGTGAGAAGTGCTTTGAGTTCCAGCCACGTTTAAAGAATGGCAGAACTTCGCTGGAAGACGGAGAGAAATGGGCGACCTCCTCCGACCTACTTTGTCTTCGAGCGACGTTCTGTCATTCTTGAAGCATGAATGTAACTTAAAATACTGTGCACAATTCATTGCTTTCTGACATAGCCTGGTGAATCATTTCAAAGGTCTGTGTTTTACATTTGCCGGGTTTGACGCAGAATTGATGTTCATTCTCGCTCTGGTTTGCAGCCTATAGTGAAATTGCCATTGTGCTCATTCATGTGGTCACAAAAGCTTGTGCAGTGCAGATACAAATATTCACAGAATGACATCCTTTGGCATAATGAAACATGTTCGACTGCTGCATGCGCTTCACCGTGCTGCCCTTTCTTTTTACGCTACAAAGTCTCAAAAATTTTTGATCACATCTCCAAAAACCCTGCTTCTATCGGCAATGGAACACTAACCCGAGAATTCGGACGGAGTGCCAGTCGCTCTTCTGGTACTCGGGTGGCAGGTTGTGGGCCAACCGCGTGTGCTTGTAGACGCCGCTGCTGTACAGGAAGAAGTCCTCCTTGACAAGCATCAATGCTGCACGGAATGGAGAGGGAGAAAATGTTCTGTTCGGCAGGCTGCAACTTCGCGATCAGCATTGCCATTACCCTAAAGATCCACCATGTTTTTTGTTCAGCTTTTCTCTTTCTAATGCTCTACTTTGTGTTGTTTACAGTAATGAAAGGGCTTCGCCAAATTGCATCATGAATGATAATCTGCTACACCCTGTGCCAAAATGTCATTTTTGCTAAGAGTTTCACCACACCAGCACCAAAATGGGTTTAAACCAAAGCAAAATATATATATATGTATATATCTTATTATTGGTTGATTCTAATCGGAGAATTAGAAGGAAAGTAAAATGGTACAAATATACAGTATTTCACAGCGTCTCTACTCACTGTATAGTTTGTTTAATGTCAGGCCAGAGCACAGCCGAAGGCTCAAACACAACCACGAACATAAAAAAGTGTGAGTCACAGTACATTCGCTGCACTTGACTGGTTTATTTTTTAGCCAATGAAAGAACACACACGGGGAGATGATGAATGTCATGATGTCGCACTTCGACAATGTGTGATTGGTCCCTTTGGCTTGTAGCGTCGGCTGTAGCGTCAACTTGAAGGCCGACGTACACTTCACGCTTTCCACTCTTGCCCGCCTCCTCCTTTCCTATATCCTCTCCACTTTTTACCTTGCACAGGGGTGGAAGCGCTGCGCCAATTGCGCCACCCTGCGCCAATTCACTTCCCTGCGCCAGCCTGCTCCAAAACGCCAATTTCAACTTTTTTTTTGTGTGTGTTTTTTTTTTTTAAATTTTGCGGAAAACGGTTGGCCACGGGCCACCATGTGGTGTGTACTTTTGCTTAGGTGTCACTGCGGGTGACTCGTACCAACTCGACTGGGGCTCCGAACCATGTGTAATCTCAGGGCGAGGCGTCGATTTTAGTTCATCGAGAGTGCGATGTCGTTTTTTACTACAAAGAGCTTGATATACGAACACATCGGTTTGGTCTCGGGCATAGTTGGTTGGCGCGGTTGGAGCGCGCATGCAGTTGCCCGTGGTCCCGATTTGCCGTGATCGTGGGAGTTGGTGCCTCAGCACCGGTGGGCTACCTTGGCCATTAACATGAGCAGAAGTAAGTGGTCTTTACTAGCTTTACCTGTTATTTGGTAGCCTACCATATTTGGACGCTTAGCCGTGAAGATTCGCGAGCACAGGCACATCCGTTCTCGAGCTTAATTTATCTTGTCAAAACGAAACCAAAACCATCATTGTGTGCGCGAATGTGCACGCTGTCGTGTGTTGTCTCCCGCCGTCAGACCACTGGCGAAAACAATACCCGCGATCTTAAGCGAGTTGGTTAATTGGCAGTGCTACACAGTTTTTTGTTTCTTTCCTTTAGCGTGGAGGAGTGGGGGTGACATCAGAAATGCCGTACAACACTCCCGCGCTGCCGATTCCTGTAGTGAGCGCACCTTAACTTGCTATAGCCACTCTACTCGTACAAGTTTCGGGTATAGGTGTATCTGGTTGGAGGGGGGGGGGGGGGGTTGGGGGTTGGGTATAGTAGAGAGAAGTTGGTGGGCTTTTTGTCACGTAAGAAGGCAGCCTGCCCCGCAGGGATCAGCGCCTGATCAGCTACATCTCATTTTCAGTCTCGTTCAAACTGTCTTCTCTTAAAGCGCTTCTACTGAGTGCACAAGAACTCATAAGCAAGGGTGAGGCAGTTAAGGACATGGACAAGGTGGGGAGTGGACACCTCCTGCTAAGTGATGTGAACTCTAAACTGCCCAAAGTACTCGAGCGCATAAAAGAAATTGACTCTGCTCTTCAAACTGTGAAAAAAAAGGTGAACTTCAGTTGTATTGTAGTGAGTGCGCAGGCGAGCTGGTGGAAATTAACCATTCTGATGTTAGCCTGAGACTGAGGCATTTATTGTAGTGAGTGCGCAGGCGAGCTGGTGGAAATTAACCATTCTGATGTTAGCCTGAGACTGAGGTTCTGTGGTGAAGATTGTGGAGTGTATATAAGCGGGTGACCGAATAAACTTTTCTTTAACTGTGTTAGAGACGTATCGTCGACTGTTCCTTTTTTCTTCTACTTTGAAACTTCCTCTTTTCCTGCCTCAGTCTCAGGCTAACATCAGAATGGTGAACTTCAGTTGTTTCTAAATTACACAGATTCAGCTTAGTCACAACCCTTTTTTTTTTTAACATGGAGCCTGTGGGCTCTTCTAGTCAGTGTTTATGCTGCATATGTATTAGTGGCTGTGATATTTTTAAGACAATATATTTTTCTATCTAAAGTAATATAGATATAGCTTTGTATGTTAACTTGGGTGTAGGGATTACTGTATTTTATGAACACGGATTAAGAACATTTGTATTTAATGAAAACAAGTCAGCAAGGACTGCTTTATTCTGAAACATGTTGTGGTACCTTAATGTTTTTTATGGAGACACGCAATGCACAGCATTTTATGGAGTACATAAGGTTGCGTTGCTCTTCTAGTCGATGCTTAAAGCTGCATATGTACGAGTGACTGTGGTATTCTAAAAATATAAAATACACATTTTATTTTGCATCTGAATTTTTGTCAAATGTCAGTAGCCTTGTATTTTGTTACTAAACTTGATATAGGGCTTTTTAAGCACTGATTGAACATGTGTATTATTTATTAAACAAAAACTGTAGCTAGCGAAGGTAGTTTATCTGACACCTTGCAGTGGTTTAGTTTTCTGGATACATGTTTACAATTGGTCTATTAAGTAGACGGTTTTGTACTGGCGTGGCTCAAGTTAGGCTTTTATTGTCGGGGCCTCCCATATAAAGTCTATCATGACTCTGCCTGCTGCTGGAATGGTTCTCAAAGCCTTTCCTTTGCATAAATTGCCAATATTCCATATTTTAATGCAATAGAAATAGAAAGGTGTGTATGTATGTTGCTTGAAAATTATTCTGGAATGTGCATGCATATATTTTTGCTACATTTTCACATTTAGAAACAACAAATCACTTTTAGATACCTGTTTGACCTCCGTGACCTGCTCCAAAACCCGCTTCTACGGCTACAAAACTTATTTTTGCTGCTCCCGAGCTGCTCTAAAGCGAGCCTTTTACTGCTCCAAAACTGCTCCAAAGTGGGACTTCTGCCGCTCCCAGCCCTGATACAAAAGGCTCTAGCCCGCTTCCACCCCTGCTTGCACCAACTTGGCTCCCCTTGCAGCTTAGGGGAGGGTAACGCTAAGAGGATTCTCTTCCCTGCAGAAAGGCGAGGTTGTACGTCGGCTTTCAAGTTGAAACTAAGTATGGAGATCGCTTGTCAGCTGCTCTGGCAGGTTGATGTGCTGGCCGGTTGATCGCCGACATCGTCTAAATGTCCAGACGCTGTCGCGGTGTCAGGAACAGTAAGTCGCGAGAAAAAGTACTATGACGGCTAGTGTAACTAGACAGAACTAGGGCCTTGTACTCCTGGTGCAATCAGCTGGTTATCATGTCTGCCATCGTAGTCGCGTCAACCGTCACCGCCCCTCACCAGCGTGTACACGTCGAGCTTCACCGCTTCGCACCGGAGTGCTAGGAGCAGCGGCTGACCTGGGGGAGCGCCTGCATTAGTGCGATAGGCACGCAAATTATGCACAGGATTACTTCCAGGTCAACGTTCCTTGTCTTCATTATAGGTTAATCTACTATAATTTAAAAAAGACTCGGCAGGAAAAAGGAGAGAAGGAAAAAACATGGGTTGATATTTGAATAAATGTGATAGTTAAGGTTGATACAAACGACTGTCAATTGAAACAGCGGCGAACTCGTTCCAACGCCGCTAAAGAGCAATGTCGCCTTACACGGAAACGTCTTTTGGCCTGCCACACCAAAACCTAAAGCCACCCTTAAACAAGTCAATTATTAAGTTATGGTAACAGGATTGGGACACACAGATGGATAGCAAACTTTACATTATTAAGCCCAACTTAGAAGTGTGGGAGAGTTCCTCCCATAAGGACCGCCGTTCGGAAGTTCTTCTGTGCCGCTTGAGAATTTGTCATTCTCGATTGACTCACCTGCGCTTGCTCTGCAGTGAAGATGTAAAGCTCTGTGAAAAGTGTGGGAAAATGTTAACTGTCCTTCACATCCTGTGGAATTGTAGATTTTTCGATCATCAACGTCGAGGATATTTTCCACAACTTTTCAGAAACCACCTTCCATTTCATCCTTATTTTTAGCTTGGTGATAGACCTTTGGTACCATTTGCTCGCATTTTAAGTGTCCTACATGCAATTGGCTTTTTGCACCTGATATAGAAGATTAGATGTAAATGCTAGGCTCCTTAAATCAACTTTCTTGGCGCAATATGGCCATAGTCGCTCTTGCACCTTTAAACCCCAATCATCATCAGCAGTGTCACCTTCGCAGCTCAAGTGTAGACTTCCATAGTATGTGTGGGTGATTGTTTATGAAATTATAGTTTTTAGTTTGATAGGTTCATAAGACTTGGGGGAATTATTTGTATGAATAGATGTATTAGCGGATATGTTGGTTCCTGCTGGCATTTTACAGAAATTATATTTTTCAGATTAAGTAAACTACCGAGTGTAAAATGGGGTGGAAAGAGAGACTTTATTTTAATTGAGGTGTTGCGCTGTAATTAATTTTTCAGCCATTTACTATACCCATTGTAAATGGAATCTACTCTGACCAGAGCCTTATTAAAAAAAAAAAAAAAAAGATGCTCTGTGTTTCTTTGGCGCCCTATCTAATTCTTATCACAAAATGAAAGTAATATGCTCCAGTATCTAAGATGAACCCTCCATCATTATCATAGATTAACTCATTTAGAGATGCAATTACTTTCTTCATTTTCAAGTGATGTACTGACAAATGTTGACATCTGCTCTAAAAGCATCACTATATGCTTCAAGCCAATATTTTGCCTGCTACAGAATCTGCTACAGAAGGTCAAATGCCCCTTCCATCGCTGTCTTTAGCTTATCAATGTACTATGTTTCAAGAACCGAATTCTTTGTTAAAAGAATGGCCATTTAATATCAAAATCCTACTGAAGGATTTTGTTTTGTCGTGGTTGAGGGTTTTGATATGTGACACTATAAAATGTGATGTTCCTCAATGTGACATCAACATGATATAAACTACCTCCCGAAGTTGAGACACACCATTCACAAGCCAAAGTTGAAAGCTCACGAAGTTATCCGGTGTTGTCATGAGACCCAGCTATTCATATGCACAGTCTCCTGCAATATGAAAGACCCACTCGAAGCGTGTGGCGCGCTGGGGGCGATTCCATTCTACCCCGAATGAGAGAACTCGCTCGGGGCTCAGCTAAATCGCAACGCGCGCTTATCAATTTCGGTTTAGTAGCGGAGAGCAGTCCTCCACCGTCTTGCCAAGGCTATATCTTTCCAACGCCGCAGTTGCTGTCTGCAGAGAACGGCCTGAGCCAAGACGATTATTCTGACTTCGTTAAAGGGATACGGAATCGAAACTTGAAATATAGAGAAAACATCGAGAAATGAGTTCAATATGATCAGCTAAGCCTGTAATGAATAATCGCACGGTCGTATTTTGAGCAGATGGCTATATTTTAAGCTCTAAATGCCGCGATTTTGGCGAGCGCTTCAAAATCAGCCATGGAGGAGCGCGATGCATCTCGGGAGATCCGGCAGACGTCTTGACGTCATCATGCCTCGGACGACCAAGCGTACCGTAGTGACGAGTTTTGCCACTTGGAGGCGTCAACGCGTTACAATCTCGCTTTGTCGAAGTACCCAAGGGCTGTAGAGATCGCGGGGCCAGCACGCGCACCAAACCTGAGAACAACCGAAGCACGCGTTTGCACGTCGCGCGAGAGCTGAAACCAAGGTGGCTCACTTCGTTTTGGCTCTTTCCACCAAGACGCCTCGGTATTGCGTTCAGGCCTAGGCAGTCTATACCAGTGAGCGGACATACCGCTGCGGCGCTGCTTTCAGAGGCATGTTGTCGTCACGACATTCCATTGAAGCTTCATAACCAACTACCAGGTGGTTTTTGATTATCGTTTAATTCACTTCAAAATATGTTTTCTTGCGTTTTCTAGCGCAATATTTATGTTTCTGTGGTTGTGCTGCTACCTGCGTCGTGTTGAAACAAAGAAATGAGCTCCAGAATTTGGTTTCCGTACCCCTTTAAAGTGCGAGATCCGTGCCATCCTTCTGACCAATGAATGTGCTCTTCAACAAATTTTATCCTTTAAATTTAAGGACTCATGTATAAATTGAATATATATATATATTTTTTTTTTTTGGGGGGGCAGTGCCGGTTCTGACATTTTACACCAAGAATAACTGATAAAGAACAGTGATGACTAGCTTCTTTCGAGCCTTCGTGACCATATCTCTGGGCATGATGGCGATAAAGCCCGCTCTTCTGCTAAGCCGAAACCAAAAGTGTGTTCAGGCCTGGTTTGAACCCCGTGTGAATGTCCTTTCGAAGCAGAATGCAATCGCCTGAAGGGCGCGCAGCGCCTCCACTTGCCGCCGTCTTGGCCACATGCTCCCGTGGGTCTTTCATATTGCGGGAGACTGTACATACCGTCAGATACCGAAAGAGAAGTGTTTCAGTGTTAAAACCAACCTTGAACAGGACCATTGGCATAGATCTCTTGCATGATGTCTTCCTCCTAGAAAGATGGGTCCATATACATAAAATCGTTCGGGTATAAGTCGCCCGAACTTTTAAAGCTTGCTGCCCCAGAGGCAACCCTTGCGGCTTATGCCGGCGCCAACTGTTTACATGCACATATTTAAGGATTGCAGCGGATTCTCATAGCATTTTGCAGCTTTGCTAGGTTTGAAACCCTTAGGCAAGATGTTCCTCTGTATTTCAATTTAATTTTCTTTTGCCAATATGCGGTGCTTATTACTTATTTGCTTAATGAGCTTTAAAAATTAGTTCTTCGTGCCCCTTCTTTGCATTCAGTGTTTCTATATGCTCGTTCACAACACACAAATCAACCTCGAAAGCTGCTCTTTTCTTTTACGTTTTCTTTGACTACCGTTTTGGGTGCTCTTAAAGGGATACTACAACGAAATTTTGGCGCTTATTTTTCGGTCTATATGTGTTCAAAAAAGCTGCATCACATCGGACATACCAATATCTTGTTAAAAAAGTCACGAAAAGGAATTTCGAAACGAATTAAACGATTAGCAAAGAGCACCTGGTGGATGTCGCTAACGCCTCGCTTGTAATGCCCGTCTAGGAACCTTGACAGCTAGTGACGGAGGTTGTCTCGTCTCCGGCCACGACGAGAGAAGAGGGGCAGGAGGAACTCCCCTCTTCCCGAGAATGCCTTTTGTGTGTCGCAGAAGTCGCTATTGTCCCCCTACAAGATTACAGAAGATTAATCCGTCCCTCAAAATTCATACAAAAGCAGCCGCTTCGGTGGCTGGAACGACTAGGCCATCCTCTCGACGTCAGCCTCGCCGTAGCTTTGCTCGTCTTGAGACGACCTACGTCACAATTGCGTTGGATGCCACGTGGTCTCCGCTGGGCCTTCTCCGAGCGCTTGCCAGAGTGGGCCGTTTATAGCGAAAAATACAGCCACCAGGCTCAAAATACAAACGTGCGATTGTCATTTACGGATATTGTGGATCATATTCAACCTATTTTTGAACAGGACGGGAATATTTAAAATTTCGTTGAAGTATCCTTTAAGACTTGCCTTCATTTACATTCTAAATAAAAATGGAGCCGCTGGCCATGCCTCTTCGGCGGCCACTATTTTTACTAGGGTAATTACTACAGAAACGAGCGTGTTAAAAGAAACAAACTTTTTTAAGCAATCTGGTTGGGACATTAGCATAACTAATAAAAAAAATCTTACATTTTGGATACCGTATAGAGCATTTTGGTGTGGCTTCAATCCGCCATTTTACTGTTAGATGTCAGCGCGCCAAAACCTTTAACCCTCCTTGCAACGAATGTTATGGTGTCAGGCGAGTCCAGGGAAGGCTTGCCTTCGGCATGCGCCAGACAGCTCGTAAAAACAAAATGACGGTCGTAATGACGTCAATGAAAATGCCCTATACGCCAGCGCCTTGTTTACAAACAAGCCCTCGTTTTCCCGCACCGGGTGTGGCACTGCATTTACGCAGAAACCAGACACGCGTGAGGCGTCTCTGCATGCTCCGTGTTGACGGCAGCGCACCGTAGCGAGCGACGTCAGAGCGGCGCGTAGATATGAGTTTTACAACATGTACTATGGTTGACAGGTTTGCCGCCTTCTGCAGCTGGAACGTACATTTGCTGGCACCCTGTATGGCGGTGTGGAGAAGTACTTCTGGTCTTGGCGACCCGTGGGACAGATGGGGTCTTCGGTGGGAACGCGCCTCCTCGCGATCCTGCACGTTGTGCTGGCGTTGCTGTACCCGCTCTCGTACGGGTAGCAGTCCTCGGACACGCCGCTGCGAAGCACGGAAAAGAAGGGGGTCACTCTTACTACAACAGATAACGGTCGGGGTTTGTTGCGATGGCGGTACTCTGAAGAGCCCCCGAAGGCTCTTGAAAGAGAAGGTGTATTGACATGAAGATCTGAAAAGCGAAACTCCTAGCGACTATAAGGTGGGCGATCTATCGGGAGTGGGGCATTTGGAGATTTTACGGTAGTCAGTTTTGACATCGCCATGCCGAAACAGTTCGTACCGCAGCAGGTCAATCGGAAATGGTATCTTCCGGACTCCGGTACGTCGTAGATGAAAAACACCCTCACTCTTTGGCAGAGGTAGGCCATTGCGCGACAGATCTACGAAGTTGAATTTAAGAGGTCGGAGAACTTCTTGGAAGAGGAAACCACATACGATTCTCGGGCAATGGGAGGGCTGAGGTTTCTGCAACGGTCCGTAAGGTGGATGATTTTTTTCCTAACAAATTGAGCATTCGGAACCAGATTGGAACGAGCTTGTTGGGTTCGATAGACCTTTTTTTTTCTGGAAAGCGGCGCGCGTGATGCGTTATGGGAACAGTGAGGGTCGCTATTCCGTCACCTAGTGCTACCGCCGTACCGCCAGCGAGAACCGCGTTGCCTACGTTCTCGTTGGGTCCCTGTGTACGGCAGTCGGCAATTTCTCCAGCGCAAACATCGTCCTTTGGAAATAGATGCCATGACAGGTGATGATCTTTCAGGGTGTTGTGGTCACACCCTGGCACGCAGCACGTCTGTCCACTGCCCTTCTTTGGATGGGTCATCGTTATGGATGGGCCACCATTATTTTTAGTGGACCATCGCGCGTGGGCCACGCACCAAGAAAGCGATGAATTAATCACAAATCCAATTTTTTTTTTTTTTTTTTGCTGCGGGATTTAGTTAATTGGAACATTTTATTTGCTAAAAAAAAAAAAAAAAAAACGCAGCTCATCTTAACAACGCTCGAAGACCGTTAGCTGGCCTGGATGCATGAATGAATTAAGAATGGTGCTGCAGTTCGAGTACTAGCGTGCGCCACCTAGCATGCAAAAGCTCAACTTGACTTGGCTTGGCTAAAGGGCGCAAAACCCTCACAGTTCCCATGATTCCCAGGAGCGCTCACGGGTGGCGCTGGCGTTTCCAGAAAGGTCCATTATCCTAGTCCGCCAACGCTTGAGCACGTACTCAGAAAATGCAATTGTACTTAGTCTGCCTCAACGGGCGACTTGGCTCTCAACGTGCACCACGCAGTAGTGTTAGAAACTGCATTGGACATGGGGCCGTGCCAGCGGTCGGCGGGAACGAGTGCGGTATCAGTGTCCACCTAGGACTCGAATCCAAGCATACTCTTCGTGCCCAAAAAATTACGACCGCCTGTGTTGCTCGATAATGTTTTGAAAAGGGCCAAATCTCTGTCCCTCCGAGCTGTTTTTTTTTTTTTTTTTTTTTTTTGTGATCGGAGAAAGAACGCGTGTCTGCCCTTCGTTGATGCGTCAGCCAATCAAGCAATGGTGGCATGAGTGGCTTGCCCATAGTTGACGAGGAAACGCCATCCCCTGTCCACGTGGCCTCCTTGGCACGTGACCCTGCGGCCCCCATTGAGGCAGGAGAGCAGGTCCTGTGGCGACAGCTCGACCTTGTCCACACCCCTGGACTGGATGGACAGTCGGTCCGCGGCCACCGCTGTGCCGAAAAGAAACCAAAAACACAAAGGCATCGAAGACGATTATATATGCGCTTCTTGGCTTGTGGCAACTTGACAGCCACATAGAGAGGGATGCAGCCCCCGATACCATACGAATGCAGTCCTGGGGCTTTGAGCTGGACCTCGGCGAGAAAGTCTCGGGTTAAAATCATCATGGTAAACTTCCACCAGCTCGCCTGCGCACTGACCTAATTCGGTTAAATGAACGTAGAAGAGATTTTTGACCGCCGCAATTGTCCAGCACTAAGGTCAAGCTCGGCTCTGGCCAATCGCGGCAGTTAGAAATCTCGCCGACATTCTCGCCGAGTGTCCAGCTATAGATCCTCTGGTACTGTAATCTGGGCCCGTTTGCTCGAAACACTAACCGCGGCTAAAGTTAGCCGCAGTACCTAGGAGAGGGATTTGGAGATCACGTAACTGGCTCAGTAGGGATGCGGGGAAACATGGCGGTGCCCCAGTGAGTGAGCGCCGGTCGCTTTGGAACTAATATGTCGTTGTGGTTGCAATATCGGGCGCGTTAGTCAGCAACGAATGGTGCAGGAGGCTTTCGCTTTGCCTTACCCCACTTAAACTGCAAAGCATGGGCGATGACATAGCCGCATTTTTTAGATAGTGTTTCGATTCGGGGCACTCCTAAGCCTAAATGAACGCGATAATTGTCGGCATAGCAACGTCTTTGGAAAGCGGTTTGTTGATAGCACACAAAAGCAGACGGCGTTCCAACAGACCTTTTTTCTAAATTATCGAAGCACCGAGGTGCATGCTACGACTGTAGTTGCACGCGTCGCACGTGCTAGCGTCTGCAGTAGTAACCGTTCTAAAGCAAAAAGTATAAAACAAATTTTGCCTTACACGCGCGTTCGTTAAAGCCTTATTATGATCTTTTACTTCAAATCTTTTATAAGAGGAAGGCCAGCGCGCGTGAACCGTAGAATCACACTTCCAGCGTTCTCCTCGCGATGCTTGGATAATTTAGAAAAAAAAGTCTGTCGGGACGCTGTCTGCTTTTGTGTGCTATCAACAATCCGCTTTCCAAAGACGTTGCCATGCCGACAATTATCGCGTTCATTTAGGCTTAGGAATGCCCAGAATCGAAACACTAAGAAATGCGGCGATGTCATTGCCCATGCTTCAAAGCGAAAGCCTCCTGCATTATTTGTTGCTGACTAACGCGCCCGATATTGCAGCTACAACGACATATTAGTTCCAAAGCGACCGGCGCTCACTCACCGGGGCACCGCCATGTTTCCCCGCATCCCTACCGAGCCAGTCACGTGATCTCAAAATCCCACTCCTAGGTACTGCGGCTAACTTTAGCCGCGGTTAGCGCTTCGAGCAAACGGGCCCTGGACACTTGGTGAAAAAGTCGGCGAAGAATTCGACCACCGTGATTGGCCGCCGTCAGGGTCAAGCGCGGCGCTGGCCAACCACGGCCGCCGAATTCCTCTCCGACTTTTTTGGCGAAGTGTCCGGATTAGAGCCCTTGGTGTGAGAGCCGCTGGTTTGTTTTGTCAACACAGCATAAAAAATCAAGATCCCCACAACACCCCGCAAAAAAAGCAGGCGAACTTGCGCTTCGCATAGACGCCGGCCATGGGTATGGACCCTTTCAGAGGTCGCCTATACACTTAAACGTTTTTACACGATTTTTAAGGGGTATTCACACGAGGGAGAAATCCCGGGGATTTCTCCCCGGCACGCGCGCATCACGAGATGAAAACGCGAGGCTTTTGCACATCGCAAAGCCTGACGTTTTCGTCATTGGATGCGCGTGCCGGGGAGAAATCCCCGGGATTTCTCCCTCGTGTGAATACCCCTTAAGTGTACATTTTTCATAGGACCATCGCAGTGCGGGCACGGGCGAATGCAGTTATTTTTAGAGGGGGTGGTCAGTGTATCCTATGTTTGAACCCCCCCCCCCCTTCGTTTCCACGCCCTACATTTTTACACAAGCAGAATTCAAGAGTGGGGTCAGGATAACCGGACCGCCTCCCCCCCCTTTCCCCCCCTCCTCCCCTCTTCTGAATCCTCCGAGTGCGGCGATCCGACAACAGGTCCACAAGGAACCCTTTACGGGGGTTGCTTTGGCGACTCGAATAATTTATCGGGTATCAATCAGGGCCAGACTTGTACGTTCAACTACACTACTCAAGTTACTGTAGTTTAACTGCCTTTCTGAGCAGATTAGTTACTTTCAATTACATTTTTATTTCGGTAATTAGTAGTTTACATCAAATACGTTTTACGAGTAACTTCTGCTCGAATTACTTTTTGAATTTTAGTGGTAGCTTTGCTTATCAGCAGACATTCCTACAGTGAAAGATAAGATGTTGGAAGATCAGCGGATATTTGCAAAGAGGGGGAAGCATGTGTCTGAAAACCCTTAAAATTTTCACGAGCCTTCCACGGCAACAACCCTGCTACGAGGCGCAGAGAGCGGACAGACACTTGGCATGTGAGGTCGAGTAACTGCGGGATTAGCGCCGAAGACTGGCGTTTCTTTGTGTCCCGGAGCTCAAGGAGGTTTTTTGACGCACTTGAAGGAACCCATCACGCCCCTCACGCCTTTCACCGCCCTCACGCACTCATGGCCCTCACGCCACTCACCGCCCCTCACGCACTCATGGCCCTCACGCCAGTTACGGCCCCTCACTCACTCATGGCCCTCACGCCACTCACCTCCCTCACGCCCCTCACTCACTTATGGCCCTCACGCACTCACCGCTCTCACGGCCCTCTCGCACTCATAGCCCTCACGCTCCTCACGCACTCATGGTCCTCACGCCACTCAGGCCCGCTTTAGATGGGGCAATTTCGCCCAGAAACTTGACGTCGCAACACCAGCAACACGGGCCGCCCGCGTTCACACGGAGCAACCAATTGCTGCAATTTGCCATCATCATCATAAAATTTTATTGTAGCGTGAGCTACACTGGCCGAGGTTGAGCAGTTTCGCGTTGCTCGCATAATGAGGGGTGCTCCGTGCTGCGCATGCGCGAGGAGCAGTTACGTCACACGGCGCACAGCTGGCGCGCCAAAGCCGCCGCCGCGCCGCGCCCGCCTCGCCGGTTTGCGCATTCCAGATGACTGACGTCATAGCCGCGGCAGACGCACTGGCACCGCCGCGTGCCCAGCTGTGCGCCTCCGTGGCGCAGTAGCCAAGTCTGACGCTGCACCGAAGCCGCTTGATAGCGCCTCTCATTTTATGCGCATAAGCTCACGCTACGTATGTCCTGGCATAGCCGAGCTAAGCTACGGAAATTTTTTCTTGCACTATTTAGACACACAACTACGCGCTATAAACGTGTTTTTATGCATTTAAATCTCGTTGAGAATACTAATGCATCGTTTTTTAAACAGCTTATTTCCAAAAACGATCAATTTCATACCAGAACCAAGTCTTTTGTTGTCATCATCACCGGCACAAGATATCACGTGAAAATATCGCGTCCCTGATTGGATGCAGCAGCTTCAAACGTCTTCAAATTGCTCCGAGTTGCTCGCTTGTTTCGAGCCGGACCCGATCTTAGCAATTCATGTCGATCTAGATAAAGCTATGGAACAACCCGCCAGCAACACCAAAATTGCTGAGAAAGTTGCTTCATCCTGAAGGGGGCCTCACGCACTCACCGCCCTCACGGTACTCATACCCCTCACGCACTCACGGTCCTCACAGCCCTCACGACCCTCACTCACCCTCACACTCATGAATGTTCCTGGTTCAGAAACTCACTCCCCCTCACCTCACCCGTGAAGATGGGGTGAGTGAGATTAAGTGAGGGCCCTCATGAGTGAGGTTTGCCTAGGTATGCATTTCTATGGATCGATCTGGCCCAAAGGAATGTTCCTGGTATACATCTTGAGCAGCGCGTTGACGTGAGCCCCGTACCTGTTGTAGAGAAGGCCCAGGAGGCGGCGCAGTCGTGCTGATCCCTGATGCCGTGCACCAGTCCTGCCCACTTGACCCTGGCGTCGAAGTCCTCCGGCAGTGGTTCGCGCCTCTTGAGATGCAGTTCGTTCATCTCGGCCGTCTGCAGTGGATTGAACGAATAGAAACGGGCCAGTGATTGCATCGCGTCGCTCGCGAGGGGTGCACAATAAGTCCATACGCCCAAATGTGCTTATTGTCCATAAAAACAGATATGTGATGATTAGCGTATTGGGGAGGGGCACCAGATGGTTTTCTTTCCGGAGAGACATCATGTACGTGATGACTGGTGGCAACCGAAGCAAACAGGAGAGGTCCAGCACACTTATGTTGATAAAAATACCGTAATTCTCAACACACTAAATCGATTGTTCCCACTTTTTTTGGGGGGAGGGGGGACGTAAATTACGCATAAAAACATTTAAAAAGTCTACGATGAAAGTCTTCCTACTCAGACATAGCGTGTGAAACTGCCAAACACTGAGAGTGACCGCATCATCGGGTTCAGTGGCCGTGTCCGACTTCGAAAGGTCTGACTTCGGGAAGCTTAACTGAATTCTTCCTGAACTGCATCGGGGCTTATGCGGATGGTTTCCATGGATATGAAAACCGGTGCGAGCATCCGCCCATTCCCCCCCTAAGTGCCCATTCCCAAATTTTTAAGATCTGACAAAATATGCACATGTATATGTATAATGGATGACCGGACAAGCGCCCATCCCCCCTTTTTTTTTTTTTTTTTTTTTTGCGATTATTTTTAAAGTTTGGGTGGGCGCTTGCCCGGTATTTTACGGTATAAGTAGGGTTCGGAGTTTTCGGTTTAAACCGATAAAAACCGATAAAAGTACGCCGAATCCAATTTCGGAAATTCGGTTTTAACCGAAAAAGGTCAGTTTTTAGGTTCGGCATTTTCGATCTAAACCGATAAAAACCGATAAAAGTCCGTCGAATCCATGTGACAAAATTCAGTTTTAACCGGAAAAGGTCACTTTGACCTTCCGGTCGTACCGCAGAGCCGTGGTGAAAAAGTGGAGACAGTAGGGAATTGTAGTAGACCGTTTCCGCAGCCCGCTAAGCACCCGGATAGCGCTCCGTAATCCACCATAAGACCTTGAACTATGCAGAGAAGGCTGGCGACGCGCTTGCGCAGCTGCGGCGTTTTCTTCGGGGATACCGTAGCGGGGGAGAAAAACGGTCTACGACAATTCCCTAGTGTCTATCGAAACGTTTCCGAATGTATGGGATACAAGGGTGCCATCACGACGTTTTGGTTTAATGTGCCCATCATCGATCGGAACGTGAAGTCCGAAATGCCCCATGACTTCGCTATGTACGAGCGTGTTTTCAAACTCGTTGTAAGGAAGACTGACTTGATGCAAGCTCTGCATGTTTTGTTGTACTTCAAAACGTCGCACTGTGTCTCTTTTGGTGGTCACAATTGGTTGATTGGCTGATTTTGGCTCAGGCAGCGCTTTATCTCCTTCAGCCTGCCAGTACCCAGTGTTAGCGTTGGGCATTCTCGAAGCTCGGGGTCATATTAGCAGGAAAGAAAGAGTGCGCATCAACTAGGAGGACCTGGGGAAGTACAAGTGTGTGTGTACTATAATAAGATTACGTAATCCTGATGTACAGAGGGTGAAGTTCCACGAATTTGGGCATAAGCTTCATATCTGACTTGTTTGTACTTCTGTGCTTTTTCTTGTTTTTTTTTTTACAGTTGCAGACATTTTCCAAATAAAGTGTCCCTTTCTTTTTTACTGTATCTATGCCGTTATTCTTTCAGTGATCACAAATATCAGAGCTACAAGGATTATCTAATCCGGTGTCCGTTGGTGTTTATTTTATATTCACCGAAAAAAGTCGATAAACTTTTGTGGGCATAAATATACGCCGAAAAAAACCGAAAATTAAATTTTAAAATAAACACCGAAAAAAGTACGCCGAATTTTGAAAAAATAGAAACCGAAAACGCGAAACCCTAGGTATAAGTGACTCACTGGTCGCTCGGGTTGAAAGGTCCCAAGCCTGTATCGAAAGCCGTCCTCCAGGAGCTTGCCGTAGAAGAACGAGTAGTTGCTGGCTGTCCATCTGCGTTGATTGCGCACATACGTTTCATAATCAAATATTCACTCTTTTTTTTTTTTTTTTTATAAATTGTACACATGCAGAAGTATACAGGGTGCTTCACGAAAAGTGGACAAATTCGATATTGCGAAAACTACTCCGCAACGAAAAAAGGCTTGTGTCGTTTTCGTCCTGGGCCAGGTATTTAGGAAAATAATTAAAGTTCGAGATAATTAAGTTGTTAATTATTTTTTGCGTAATTTACTTTTTTTATATTTTGTTTAAGGGCATGGTCTCTATCAGAAAATTGCTCAGCATCATCGAAAAACACTATATCAACAAACTGCAGAATGATAGAAGGCAGGCGCAGCATTTTACGGCTTTCTGAAAAAAAACACACACACACACACATTCGACGGGTTTTTAAGTTTTGGTTTGCAATCGGAGCGCATCTCGGCCTCGACGGCACCGCGCCCCGTGGAGGAATAGTGCAATCAACCTCTGCTACGCTGTCCTCGCGTAACGCAGCAGAGGCTGGTTGCACTATTTTTCCACGGGGTGGTGCCGTTGGGGCCTAGAAGCGCTCCGATTGCAAACCGAAACTTAAAAACCCGTCGGCTTTGTGCGGTTTCTCAGAACGCCGTAAAATGCTGCGCGTGCCTTTAATCGTTCTGCAAATTTGTTGATTGAGTGTTTTTCGATGATTCTGAGTAATTTTGTAATTAAAGCCATGCTCTTAAACACAATATTAAATAAAGTTAATTACGAAAAAATAATTAACAACTTAATTATCCCGAACTTTAATAATTTTCCTAAATTGGCCCCTGCCCCAGAATCAAAACGACACGAGCCTTTTTTTTTTTCTTTTTTTGCGACGCGTAGTTTTTGCAATATCGAATTTGTACACTTTTCGTGAAACACCATGTATACACTCCAGCTTTGTTATATTCCTCGACTCAGATGTTTTAAGGAAGTTACTTGCTACGTGGTGATCAATTCTGAGGATTTGTTTGTAAGCCCTGTTGATGTTGTTTTTTTTTCCCCTTCCACAGTCTATTTGATCATTTAAAAAAAAATTGTGGTTCCTGGAACGCGTTTTCGACTGGTGCGTTTAGCATCCTAGACCGCCCATGCGGCTCCGAAGTGGTAGTTCAATGAGGTCACAGGGACTGGCGCGTCTCGCAGTCGAATGTCGCGATGCTGGCGATTGGTCGCGGAAGCTCCGGCAAAAAGCACGAGCGAACGCCAGTGTCGCTGCAGTCGCGGCGTCCCGACTCATGTTGAAACTCCCGTGGACTGTGAAGCTAGAGAATAACCTGCAGCAGAACGGGTACTGCTACACCCACCTACTCCTGTGCCACCGCTGGAATGGCGGCAGGCAGTGGTATGGTATATGACGGTGCTGTGATGTCAGCGGGCAGAAATCGAGGGATCACTTTTGACGGCTCGGTCAGACGCACCGGTCGGAGACGCGTTCCAGTAGCAGCATAGTGTAAACCCAGATGAGAACTCACCCAAAGTTGCCTGTGTTGATCTGTCGGATGAGCTCGGGCCTCACCAAGCACGGCCTGTCCTCGCAGTCCAGACGAGTCTGCGATTCCGTCACCTGGCGGCAAGTGCTGGAGATAGGGATGCGCACACATGTAACGCCCCTGCCTCGAGCTGATAACTGACTGCTTTAACCTTTTCTCGCTACGAACTCTATGATCAGTCCATTATACATATGTCAGACTTGAACTACAACTACATTTTCTGAATAAACGGACTTTACTCCTCTCCGGTATGCTATTTATTATATTTAATGACGGATAGCTATAAAAATGTCAAATCAGGGAGATGTCCAAAACCATCATTCCTGGTTCCCCGCGTTCTCCAGTGGCCTGACGTCACCGGCGGGCAGACTTGCAGGCCGAGCGTCGCACATTTTTTTCCCGCTGCTGAGCGAGCGCCGCACTCCACAACATTAATTTTACGTCCACATACTTTTTTTTCTCGTAACCAGTTGGAAACAGGTTCTACGGCCCAGGCAACGAAGCTGTTCGTGCCGCAAAATGTCACGTTTTAATTTTCGTAATTTCTTTTTTTAATTGTGGGATTACAATTAAAAATTCAATAACTTCGCGAGAAAAAAATATTATTACATAATATTTGGCCTACTTTCTGCACTTTTGTATAGTAATTGTTTCAGCGACATTCTCGTGGAGCTTTCTGGTTGGGCGCTGTTCTTGGAAGTTCTAGGACTATACTCATCTATGCTCCATCTCGCAAATGTCTGCAGTAAAGACAAAGGCTCGCGCGCGTGAGCCTATAGCTCAGCGAAATATGCTTCTGGTTATACGAGAACTCGTGCAGACGAGGCACTTTCCAAAGCCACGCGTTTGTGCCCGTGTCCTTGTCAGCACTGTTGATGTTTGTGCAGATGGAGTTTATAGGGATAATGGGGATCAGGATTCCGTGACGATAGCTGCAATTCGTACAGAAAAGAAATACTTAGGTACGATATATTGAGGGCCAGGATAAATGAAGCTCTATAGGACATTGAAGAAAATCCCAAGGATTTCCTTTCTCTTAAAGTTCTGGTTGTAACTTTTTTTTTAATGCCTACTATATCGTCCCTTTTTCCCAAAAACTAAAATCTTTTTTTTTTTCTTTTTTTTTTTTTTTTTTTTTTTTGTTATGCACGCGAGAAGCGTTGGCTGCCATGCTCGAAATCAAAACTTACCCAAGAATCGAATGTCGCTCAAATATTCCTTGAAGACATTCCCAAGAATTGTTTTCTTTTTCTTAAAATCGTTGTTGTGGCTTTTCTGGATTGCTTACTATTCGCCCATTTTCCTCAAAAACTAAAAATGTTTTTTTTTTTTTTTTTTGCCCACGCGAGAATAAGCGTCAATTGCCGTGACAGATATAAAATCTATCCTATGAATCGTACGTCGTTCAAATGTCCCTTCCTCTCACCAATACAAAACAAAACAAATTCCTCTCACACAGCCAAAAAGATGAGGAAAAATAAAAGTGTCGAAACTAAACTTCCGAGATTGCTTGAGTATACCCTCGAAGAAACTGTTAAACAAAACGCGGGAGGCAACCGGCACATTCGCCGGAAAGGAGACCGAAACTGCAGGTTGAAGGAAAATATCAGCTTTGCTTATAGAGCTGATGCGCATGATGCTATAAATGAATAAGCTGAGGGACTTACCATCGGTTGCAGTTGACCATGAAGCTCTGACCAGCGCTGTATCTGGCCCCGTCAGCGTCACAGTCTGGAAGACACACCAGAAGTTGCCCAGCACGACAATGACATTGTACAGTCTAAGCTCATTACAACAGACCTGGTTACAACAGGCATTTGGGTATAACATGCCGATTTGTGAAGTTGGTTGATTTTCCTTTACATAACATTGACTGAACTTCATATCTGCATACAACATATCTCCCCTTACAACAGACCGAAATCTAGGTCAAAATCAAGGTCTGTTATAACCAGCTTAGACTGTAGCTCAACGGTTTCCGCAGTTAGAAGGAACAATTTATGCATTTGAGTATCTTCGGTCACGTGTCCTAGCCATGCGATGTCTCCAAATACTTCGAGACAACTCACTTGTATGTTAAACAGGAAAAGTAGTTCCTTTTCTTGTTTAACACCTCACTATTTAAAAACGAACGCCGAAGAATGTTCGATTTTTCTTCTTTAAAGGTTGTAAGCAAGCTTACGTGCATTCTGTGACAAATCAAGATCTGAAAAATATTTTTTTTTTAATGCTTCGCTACATTTCTTTATTACTTTTAGAGTAACGTACGTTTTAATTTCAGATTAGTGTTTTGAGTCTGTATAAATGAGGTGCGTGGTACGGTCTTGTGGCGACAAGTATAATTTCTGAACAATTAAGGCCTAGTAATGTACTTGTTATGAACGGACAGAGCGTCCGCATCCGAAAAAGCGCTACAAAAACAATTGCGTGCACTTTAGCAGAGCAAACGATGGAGGTGAGCTAGCCTCCTCTCGAGCGAACTCTACCAAAAAGGTGGCCGACCGTGGCCACATTCCTGTACATAGGCGGTACTGGGCAAACGCGATCCAGAAAATAGTCATAGAGATCAGTGGTGCACACAAAACAGATTAGCAGAATTTGGCACAAACCGATACCGCAGATCGCGGACGTTTTAAACTCGGCGTTCCACGGTACTGTTTCATAAATTACTGAACTCCCCCCCCCCCCCCCTCCCCCTTCCCAAAGAAAGATAAAACTAAAGGTCTGTTCACACGGTGCATCTTTTAGGCGCGCAACAGTTTCGCGACACCCAAGTTCCGCGAAATGTGCTCGTTCACACGTACCGCTTCACGTGCAACAACGATGACGTTTAGACTCGCGAAAATAGTTTGCGTGTTGACCATAAAGTGGCGCTTCAGTTGAAAGCCAACATCATCATCATCACCATTAGCCATTCAGCGTCGTGTTCTCCATCTCCCGCCACATTCTAAGAGTCAAAACGCAGACGAGCTGGTGAACAATCATAATTAAGAAATAAAACCTAAAGACAAGGAAATAAAAAGGGACATACACACCACCGTCTTAAAACCAGCACAGCATACAGCTGTCATTTACTTCCATTTACTTAATTTACTCTTAAATTGTCATTTAGTAGTTGTTGAATTGTCATTTACTGCCATTTACTTTATTTACTGTTGAATACGTATAATTTGGATGGAGGTTGACAAAGAAGAAGTCTGTTGTGAAAGTAAATGAGAGCTATACGGTGTGCTGGTTTTGCGACGGTACTGTGTACGTCCCTTTTTGTTTCCTTGTCTCAAGGTTTTATTTCTTAATTATGACTAAAAATAGACGCGAATTATCATCATCACCAATTACGTCTTCGTCCATCGCTGGATTTTTTTCCGATATGCTACTCACTTTTTCTTCAGTGGTGCTTGACGTGCTTACGCAAGCGCCGGCATCGTTCGTGGTTTGGTTTCTTTTTTTTTGTGTGTTTTTTTCGGATTTGGTTTGGCTACAACACCGGCAGTGAAGTGGTCTTCTCAAACAGCTCGCTCCCCCCTCAAAGGCCACGTGAGAGCGTTTCTGAGCGGCCATTGGCGGCGCTCTCAGAATGATTGACAGGACTCGGCAAAGTTTCAGCAAAAGCTCGCTCCAGAAGCGAGGTGTGCGCGCAACTTTTTTTAGATGGCGCGCGTCCTTTTCGGACTCGTTCAGACGGCGCAACCGTTTCGCGAAACTACGTTTCGCGACACTAGATGCGCGAGAGGGGGGATCGGTGGCCGAGTGGTCTAGCGCACACCAGCTCGGAGCACGTGGAGCGAAAGCTCGCGCTGCAGAACCCAGGGATCCTGGGTTCGAGCCCCACCCCTGCCCGTTTCGATCTGGATGAGCATCGTACCGGCGTGCGGTCGTGTATCACTACTGCGTGACGCACGTTAAAGACCCCAGGCTAGCGGTTTGTACCGCACTGGCTAAATTTCTCATCTAGAGCTGGGAGACTCGTCGCCTTTGTGAGGCAGACCAAGTTCTAGGCTGTATAAACACAAACACAACCCAATTTAGGTGCGCGAGAAAAATGCATCGTGTGAACGGGTCTTAAGTGCCTGGTCATTTTTGGCGATATCCCCACTGCCTGGTGAGGATATCGCCAAGCGCGCGGGGATGCATCATACTTTGGGTTCTATATGCTAGGTAGCGCAAGCTACCACCCGTTATAACGTTAGCATCCATCCATCCATCCGTTCGAATAAAATACGTATATCCCGAAATGAACTTTCCCCGAAAAACTTCTGTTACCGCAATAGTTAGGCTACTCAGGAAGGTAGGGCGAGGGAAAGGAAGTCCGGGAAGGAGGAAGCAGACAAAATGATAGAGAGGAGGAGGTTTTCCCCTCTCCTCTCGAACGTTCCGTCTGCTTCCTCCTCCCCGGCCTTCCGTTCCCTCGCCCTACCTTCTTGAGTTGCAACGGACTATAGACTTATTTCGAGTATTGCGATTATGCGCTGCCTCTGTTTCGAGATGACGTGCCGAATGAGTAGAAAGTTTCAAATCGCCCGTCACTCAAAATGAGTCTCACAACGGAAATGTCGTGCTTTTCTGTGTGGGGGTGGGGGGGGGTTATTTTGTGGTAGCCAATCCAAACACATAACATTTATTTTTCTTTTTCAAGCAGAGCGGCTTTTTTTTTTTTTTTTTTTCTTTTTAGGCAAGAGCAATTTATTTTAGCTATACCTTACGTCTCTTTTAAGTGAATGATTTTTGATTATTTATTTATTTTACGTGCCCAGAAACAACCATGCAGGTATCCTCTTTGGTGCACAAATATATAGATATGAACAGAAAAAGAAGAAGAAAAAAAAACACAATGGCAGCTTTCAAACACAAAGCAGCGAGTACACAATATTTAAAGTTCGGCAACAAGCATTTTCGCTTGGTTCCTGAACACCTTAATGCCAGTGTATATATCAAGTTCGGCATTTTCAATATCGATGAACAGAGATTGTATCCGTGACAGAGGAGATGGTTTACAGACGGTGTAAATGCTGAAAGTATTGCGGGTCCTAGTGGAACGAGGAGGGACATGAATGTTTACATCACGTAAAAGCAAAGTACTGTCAAATACGCTATTTACAATTTTGTACAGAAAAACTAATTCCATACAGTCCGCTGTGTAAAGGGTATGTAAGCTCACTTTGCACAATATACTTTATCATGAGTAAAAACGAGGTAGGCATCAAACTAACTCTGTGAGGGTTGCAGGTTTGCGCACATTTCCGTCCAGCGAGCTTTTCTTGGACGTCAACGCCTTACGGATCTCCAACAACAACAAACACCGCAACGTTCCCAGGGAATATTATAGATGATAGTTATAAAATATCAATAAGAGGGAATCAAACTTTGGGCGCGTATAGTTTTGATCCCACTGCTCTACAGTTTATTTGCATTGAATCATATAAGCCTTATTCATAAAATTGTCAATTTCGGCTTGACAAAATATCGTAACGTTCCCGAGGACTGTAATTGCCTGGGGGTATCATAGAACGCAAATCAATTAGAATTTTTATATTTCCTTTAAAACTTTTTATTTTACAGAATGTCTCAGAAAGTTCGTACAACAGCCTCCAAAAACTACCTTCCGAAAGCACGAATGCCGGAAATGGAAAACCAGAGGCGGACATCCACACTTCGAGCAGTGAATGTATTTGATTGTCGCACGGGTGGAAGAGAAGTTACGCCTTGGCTGAAATCAATCTGCTTCGAATAACGAGGTCGAAAAGAATCAGCAAAAATCGCCTGTCCGACAACCCCACCACCTATCGGCTGGCGGAAACAGTTTTGATTGTGTTTTCTTTGGACGTCAGCGCTGCCGTCTGCTAATTGTCGTCTGCTAGACCTCGATAAGCGACGCCGCTCGGGGGAAAAAAAAAGAAAAGGCGGTAAAACGACAATAAATAAACGTACAAACGGAACCCAACGCGATAATGGGCGGGCAAGTTGTAAAGACCCCAAGAGGCTCCATTCATTAAACGCATCCGCCGTGTATGCGACACGCATCCGTCGTGGTGTGTAATGCGTGGCGTACACTGCGAAAATCTTGCAGGTTTGAGATTTCTACAGTGCCACAAAGCACTTGGGATTTGATATCTCTAAACATGTGTCCAGTAGCGCTATAGTGGTCCGAACCAGGAGCCAAAGTTTTAGCCTTAACCGTTATGTTCTTTAAAAGTTATAAGTGATTTTCTTAAATTTTGATGAGAAAATGGCGGCCAACAGAGCTCTCGAATAGACGGAGCTCTATGGCGCCAGTGGCCGATAACGGGCAAAGGGGCCCTATATCCCCATTGAAATTTTTAAGTAATCACTTATCAGTTTTGATTGAAATAACATTTAGTTCTGAAACTTTGGTATCTGGTTATCGTCACTAGCGCTATGCATTTAGGCAGAGAATGTGCGCTCGGCGATGCGGGTAGTTTATTTTTGCGGTGAAGAGAACATCGTAATTTTAGGGGAGGACATGCATTTCAGTAAATACAGCTTGGGAGCAAGAAAGACAATCTTTCTTTCTAATTACAAACATGTATTGTCTTTTTTTTTATGTTGTACCAGAAAAACAAATTTGGAATGAATTAGTCCACAACAAGACAGTCTCAATTCCCCCCCCCCCCCCCCCTTTCTCTCTCCCGACAGCGTCTCTTACCGTCTGCTCTCTCGCGTCGTCTGCTTCCGTTTCGCTCTTCCTGCTTTTAGGCGTATGCATTTCTTTT